AGTCTTTCTTTATCTTTGACTTTTTCCATAAGATTTAAATCTGTCTCAATCCAAGTTTCTCCACCTCACCAATGTTTCAGAGCTTTTCAGCTTCTCCTCACTAGAAACCTGTGTGTGTGTGTGTGTGTGTGTGTGTGTGTGTGTGTGTGTGTGTGTGGTGTGTGTGTGTGTGTGTGTGCATGTGTGTTTGTGTGTGCATGCGTGTGTGTTTGTGTGTGCGTGATATAGGTGAGTGAGAAGGCAGCACAATTAAAGCTGTCACCTTTGTCCCAACCTTTTCTCACTCTCTCATATAGTTTTGTGTGTGTGTGTGTGTGTGTGTGTGTGTTTTCATTTGTGCGTTTGCAGCATGTGTGCAGGTTTGTGTCCTCAGTTGCGTCAGTGGCATCAGTTTCTGCGCCAGCAGCAGACTCCTCCCCTCGGTCCAGACCGCTCCTCCTTCCTGTGTGTCAGTATAAAACATGGTCTCCTCTCTCTCACACTCACTCACAGCCTCATCACTGGAGGACCAAAGCTCAGCATCTTCAGACTCATCCTCTCGTGGTCCACACCAACAACCGCAGGTAAGAATTAAAGAAAACCGATTCTGCAATTGTTAGGAAATTCAAGTTTTTCCTTTGCAGTTTTTTTCTTTTACGATTTATTTTTGGTTTTTGTGAAGGTTAAGTTTCTGTGAAACTTGTATGTTTCATCTGTAAAGTTGATGTAAATTTTTTAATTTGTTTTTCACAATTAATCTAATTCAAATATTCTTAAATTTTCAGTTGCTGTAGCTCAGTGACTTGTAGCCTCAAGAGAAGATATAAAACATACATACTGAGTGTTGAAGTGTATTAATGATAATAATGAAAAAAATAGGCCCATTAACAACTGAAAGGGGATGATCACACTTGTATACGGATAAACATATTTTACTGTTTGAGTTTGCAAATAATCCAATTATGAAATTTTGTTTTTAGTCTTAAGTCCAACCTGTAGACACAATTTTGAGTCCGTATATTATATTTTATATACAAAATAATGTTTTCCATGCGTACCATATTTTGTGGTGTTTGTTGCTGCAAATGTAATAAGTAGGATTATACTCATAAATAAAAGTAGTCCAATAGGAGCTAAATATTCATCTCTGTGCAATAACTGAACATGGAGGAGTTTTCATTACATTTTTTATCACTTTCATTGTTTTTCTGAGGAGCGGAGAGGAGGAGAGGGGAGAGGGCTTTCACACACATTACAATAACACATCATTACCAGCCCATTGAATAATTAATCAGAGACAATGACCAGCTGCTAACAGGAATTATATTAGCATCAACAGAATGACTATTTACACCACCATTCATTCACCACCAGTCTATAAATCCTAGATATCATATGGTTTAAAACTACTGAATGAAACATGCTGTACCGTGGAGTCTGACTCATAGGAAGAATATTAACCAGGTTACTTAGGGATTTAACATATCTGTGTTTGGAGCACACACATTCAGCAGTTTTTATTCTGTATATGAGGAGAGAAGGTTATTCACTTGTGAGTGAGTTGAGATCACCACTGCACTGTCCAGAGTTTGTGCTTTCTGCAGGAAAAAGGATGGTTCCTTCACTGTGTTAAGAAACACAGAGCCAAACAAGCAAAAAAGAGGGAGCAAGAATTGAGGAACAGGAAACAAATGTATCCGCTAAAGAGAGACAGACGGAGAAAGTGGGGGTTTTGAATTATTAGAGATTAAAAGCCTCATAGCGACTTGCGTTGTTGTGTTTATCTAATTGGATCTTTTCCTCTGGATGAATGTTCTGGCACCAAGTATAATTCATCTCAACTAATATGCTGCTTTGCCTGACTCTAAGATAAATACAGTGTGAACTAATCAGTCAGTGTAACATTATACCAACTGTTTTTGAGTTTTTTTGCCTTCTGCGTTGCATATTTTCATCACACTGACGCATAACTGCTCTTTCAGAGAAAATGTTCAATTGAACTTTAAATTATTAGCAGATCAGGGCTGTAAAGAAAATACAATTTACAATCGCTAGATATGTTAATTATATGTATTTATATTTTTTTCGAATTCTTTTAGAACTTTTATATGAATAATGATGATTGGATTTTGCTAATGCTGACAGTGTAGATTCATCACAAGTACACCACACACCACATGTGTGTGTGTGTTAAATACTCAATTGTTCGAGTGATCTCACAGGAAAACGATCGGAGGTTTTATTTCAACTTAGTTGTATTGTCTCCTCCTCCTCTCTCTCTGTGTACAGTCATGAATGTAGGAATCTGTGTGTGTGTTCTCCTGGCTGCTCTGTCCAGCGGTTCCCTGAGTCTGCCCTCACAGTTCATGGTAAGACATGCACACACATGCTGATTTTTCCCTAAAAAAATCAGGATATATAATGAATTGAAACAACCTGATTGAGTTTTTCCAAATGTCTCCATTTTAAGTAATGATAAGTCATGATCAGTTACTTGGAAATACAATATTTCACGCAAATCTATATTTTTTGTTCTCCAGTCACAGAGAGCTGAGGGTGAGGCTTTCATGTCAGACAGCCTTCCTCCCCCCTCACCCAACCACGCACGCCAGACCCGCTCAGCTCAAGTGCCCCCCTCAGAGCGGCTCACCAACTACAACCAACCCCAGGAGGACAGAAATGATCGAAACAGCCTGAGCCAGCTCCTGGCCAGATTCATCTCCAGGAAAGGTGAGCAGTTGGATGTAGAGCCTGACTACTGTCAGGATGCAGAGGAGAGGGGAGATGGATAGAAAGAGTAACTGGAGCGAAAGTCTTCCCCTTTAGTCATCTCATCTAATCACACACAGGTCATTCCTCTCTTCTTACTTTGCTCCTGGTCGTGTTATTTCTCTCTTCCTGACGTCCATCCTTCTGTAATCTGTCATCGCTCATGCTGTGCCTGAGTTCCACCATATGGCATTTCCCACCCCCCTCTAGCGTCTTCTCTTCTCCCTCCATCTTTCCATACCTCCTCCTCGTTCCCTCCCTCTATCTTTTTCCACTTCTGCTTCCTCCTTTTCCCTCCCTCCTCTCTGCTTCCTCTATCCTTCCATCCTTCACTCATCTCCCTGTTTCCCGACCTCGCTCTCTGCTCCCTCTGTCGCTGTGCATCTCTGTTTCTTTTTCAAGTCAACACTGTGTGACTGGGAGACCTGCTGAGCTCACTGGTCTTACAGAACACACAAAGACGGGAATAGAAACAGAACAAGTCAGCAAGAGTTACTTCACCTAATTCAGTGGTTATACATTATTAGAGTCAGTGCAGGTAGAAAATGTGCACTGCCATCATGTTTTGGCCAAGTAGAATGACATCTTCCTGTCCTCATCACATCACTATGTCATTCTCGTCCTGTCTTTGTCTCCTTCAGGCTCTCCCTACCAGACCAGATCCTCCCTCACCAGCAGAGCCAGTGGCCTAGCCCCAGGCCACAGGATAAAGGACAGAGATTATCTTGGCTGGATGGACTTTGGAAGACGCAGTGCAGAGGAGTATGAATACTCCTCCTAAAGGCATGGCTTGCTTTCGCTGAAAACCTGAGTTACAACCCCCAACACCGCCAATAAAAGCTCACAAAGATAATGAGCTCTTTTCACACTGCACTTATTGTAATCCAGGGCTGACTTGACTGGATCCTAGTGTGAGTTTAGCATCATATAAGGAGAAGAGAGTAGAGTAATTTAGAAAGGACAGATCCTGCAATCTGAATCTCTGTGCTGAACATGAGATCACTTTCCAAACCAGCCCCTCACAGCATGTCAACATGATATTTAAACACTAAATTGAAAGGATATAATATTCTATATTGTTGTTACTGTCATGACAAGAATCCCAACAGTGTGTTAGTCCATCTCTTAGTAGGTTCAGACTTCCTCAACCTGTCTGTGGCTCTCAGCCACAAGCCCACTTGTTCCTACTGAAGATCTATATCTAAAAAAAAAAAAAAACACATCCAAACAGACAAATACATATAATACTTTTATTTTTGACAAAGGCTCAAAAAATTCTGAGCACTATAGTTTTTAAGCAGCATCACTCAAAAAGGAATAAATTGTGCGTTTGTTGGGGACTACTTTCAGCAGTGGACTAATACAGATTTGGTGCTCTAGTAAGTATTTACAGCAGCAGGACAGTGTATGTGGGTTAAACTCAAAATAAACTACAACAGCAATGAAGGAACATTTCACTGAGTGTTACGGTGTGGCTCATTTTTGTGTTTTTAATAGTGTTTGGACCACAGTGGAGCTCTATGCACAGAGGGATACACCACACTACACAGAAAACACATTGGTAAAATCAATTCATTGTTGGTTTTGGGTTTGGTTTTCATAGCATTTGTAAGAAAACAGGGGTCAAACTTTTACTGGTGTTAACAGCTCAACAGACATTTGCTCATAAGTCTGATGCAAACTGAATAAAGTCATGTGTTTTTCAGTTTCAATACTTTTCACATTTGGGAGGTAAAAAAACAGACTATCAAGCAAGAACTTTGCAAAAACCTGCTCCTTAAATATGAATTTCAGCCTCATTCCAGTGAGAGAAACTGGTGTGTCTGTGACTGGTGGCTCAAATTTATGCCACTCAGAGTGGTCTTAAAATTACTAATTTGACTGACAATTCAGAATGTATCTGAGGCCTTATATTGGACCGTAAGGAGCCACTAAGGTGTCTCTGGTGATTGAACCAAAAGTGGGATTTAAGTCTGTATCTTTGATTTGTAATTTAAAGCACTCAGCTAACTGCAGCCCAGAGCTTCAATCCATTTCAACTTTACACAAGTGCACAGTAAAAAAAAAAAAAAAAAAAAGAAAATTTCATATTATACCATTTGCAACTAAAGAAAACAGAGAGACACAATAGTCAGTAACAGCAGCTCTAAAACAGCAACAACTTTCACCTTTCCAACCCTGCCTGCTGAAGGTAACCCTGGGCTAAAACTGTGCAGTGTGAAAAGCACAAGACATGTTTTGGAAAGCACACGGTGTTGTCTATAAGAGATGCTTGGGAATTTCTCTATCATTGCATAATGGACTTCGGTGCCGCACAGTTAAAATCGGGAATACAAGTTCTGTAGATATGAGGAGTATTTCTGTTTTTTTTTTGAAAGATCATTATGTATGTATGTATGTATGTATGCACTCTTAAAGGTTAAGACTCTGTAATAAATACTATGTTTCTACCAACTTTCAGATCCAGTATAATTCAAAATAAAGCTCCATTCTCTGACGTCAGCAAGAAATGCAAATCCATTTTTTTGGGATAATGATTTTATTATGTCTGGAGGCTGCAGCTGGTGCGCCGATCGCAAGCATTTCATGTAGCCACTGCCTGTGTTCAGGAATGTTCAGAATCCACAGAAGCCAGGACATTATCATTAGTGTCTGTTGGTAATGTAGATCAGGCTTCCCCAGGATTAGCACTTGGTTTAATGAGCTAGTTTTCTGAACAGGAAATAAATTTAACTCAGTTTAATCCTGTTTTAGAAGTATCTCTCTTAAATTTCACTCCGTTATTACTTTAAAAAGATCAATGTCAGCCATCTGCATTAATCCTCATTAGTGAGAGTGTGTGCACACAGGTCATTCTAATGGTCTGCTGTCGTTGACTGAACAGAAGCTGCTGTAAAGAACAACGTGGTCCATGTCCTCCTGGGAAATGAAACTAAACTTTGCTACAACTACAACTAATTTTATGCCTGTAGGTGGATTAAATCAGTGAAGAGCAAACACCTAAATGGTGAACATCAAGTGAAAGTGAAAGGTTCTCCATCACACAGCTGAACATAAACCTGAATGCACCCTGTGGTAGAGAAAATGTAATAAAATCAAGCTTTTAGTTTGGAAATACTTGTGTTGACTCCAGAAAATAGATGATCATGTATCAGATGTAAATTTGCTTGTAAAACTGATATGAAGCAATATAAATGTATGTGTACATGATTTTTTGATGAAAACAATGAAAAGATTAAGTGTCTTTAGTTGCATTTATTTATTCAAAGTCAAGCAAAGACAGGCTATTAATTATTTATCAATTATGGGCTGGGAATGAATAAAACTCAGCTTCCTTCCTTCACACACACAACTCGTGCTGCACACTGTCCACACAGGCCTGCAAACTGCACACACACACACGTTTTAGGTTTCTCTTCACCTCTCTGTGATGGCCACCCTGCCCATCAAGCTTGTTGAAAGACAGTCAGTATTATCAGACAGGTTTACCCTGGGACAGTCCTCATAAGAGCCAGTTTCATCATAGCGTTTGATGGTTTTTGCAACTGCACTTGAAGATACATTCAAAGTTTGCAATTTTTCAGATTGACTGACCTTCATGTCATAAAGTAATGATGGACTGTTGTTTCCCTTAGTTGAGCAGTTCTTGACATTATATGATTAGTACAGCTGTCCAACAGGGTTATTTACTGTATACCAACACTACCATGACACAACACAACTGATAGTCTTGAACGCATTATGAAGGGAAGAAATTCCACTACTTAACTTTTGACAAGGTACACCTGTTCACTGAAAACCATTCCAGGTAACTCATGACTCATGAAGCTAGTTAAGACAATATCGTGCAAAGCTGTCATCAAAGTAAATGGTGGCTACTTTGAAGAATCTAAAATATGATACATATTTTGCTTTGTTTACACTTTTTTTGTTTACTACATAATTCCATATATGTTATTTCATAGTAGTGACGTCTTCAGTATTGTTCTACAAAATAGAAAACAATCAGAATGAAGAAAAACCTATGAATGGACAGGTGTGTCCAAAGTTTTGACTGGGCATGTATTGAGATGTGTAGAAGGCCACAGTGAAACAAGGTTGCCTCTTTCTCTAACTTTCTCTTACACACACAAAAAGACAAAACCAATATCCATCTCAAAGCCTGATGTCTGTTAGCATGCTGTTATCCTCCTGTCTGAGTCCTGTTTACCATCTGTCTGTGACTGAAGCTCTTGCACAGGACCAGCGGTTCATATTTGCACTGCTGTTATAGCACACTGACAAACTGAGAATACTTTCAAATTCCCACAATGTCACTTGGTTTAACTCACTGTTCTAGTTTTAGATGAGTCAGTCCAGACACAGGGACAACATCAGGACTGAGGGACCATTAGCTCCAATATGACTTCACATGAACAATGTGACACAAAACTGAGAAAGAATAAGTTCCCAAAATATGATGATAATGCTTTGGTAAGCTGAAACATTTTACTGTTGGTAGAGACCATGATGCAAGAGCAGACGGACAAATAAAGAGATATAACAGAGTGGAGAGGGGAATACTGTGCAGAGACACAGTGACATGGAGTGAAATGACAGATTTTCAGTCTTTGCTGGTTAACTAGATTAATAAATAGAAAATACTGTTGTTTTCTTTTGGTATCATCAAAGGTCTTTGGCCCCTGACAATATAAAAAGCTTAACAGATTATAACATTTTATCATTTAGCATCTTTATTGCATGATCACTATACTTGGCTCTTCACTGCACCCATGTGGACAAAGTGAAAAATACACTTTGAGTAGACTGTCAATTTTGCAAGAATATGCAAATCAAATGTTTCTTTAATACTAATCTGGGGATGAAATAAGTGTGTGGTGTTTACAGAGAAGCAGTAGAAAAAAAAATGAAAATGAAAATAAAAATAAAATAAAATGCAGGGGTGCACATGGGGGGAGAAGTGAGATTAGATGAGGTCTACTAGTGTCTTCAGTTGGAAACCTAGTGAGAGTGGTGGTTTACAATTAGCGGGTTTAGAGACCAGAAAATTTAATTATGGTGCATTCTATAACCATAAAAGTCAACACAGCGCCATTTAAAACTGGAAATTAGTATTTAGAGCTGCTACATTAGGAGTGAAGACACACAGAGTATGAATAACAAAAATATGATCATCCTGCATTCACAACAAAAAGAAGACAAAATAATCAAAAATCAAGTTATGTTTGAATGGATCTGTTTATTCCTTTATTTTAAATACATAGATTGCCTTCATCCGCTCTCTCTTCTGGTCCAGTAACATGAAAAAGTGACATGCACACGTTCACACTTTAACACATTCAAACATGAACCATTTGAAGTAGCCGTACCTCGATGTGTCACACATACTGAAGACATACGTTCACAACATTCAACATGTTAAAAAACAGGAGGATGACATGAAAAACCATATCAGTTGTATAAAGTTTAACAGTGTTTAAATCTGAGAACACTGCTAATTCCTCTTCACCATTCACCCTAAACCAAGCCATAGTGTTAGAAAGTGCTAGAAGCCATGAGTCCCTGCTTGGAGAACAACTAAGCCGCACAAATGCAGATGCAGGAGTAACCTTTTCTATTAGACCAATTACATTTACAGGGTAAATGTGACATTTATTAGCCTTTGTTTACCCACAAATAACATCTGTTACATTTCAAATTAAAAAGCAACTGTTGGAACATCGTTTTTCTCAATTATCCAAGGGCAAAAAACAAGCTTAGTTTAAGTTTGCCTGTCAGTTCTTAAATCAGGGACTACATGACAGAGCTCAAAAGTGCAACAGAAATATTGAAGGTAGACATACACATAATCATACTTTAAATGTGTTACAAATACAAAAATGTATTAATGTATTGCTTTCACTCAACTATCTATTGACATTTTTTGTCATCAAATGACTTCAGATTGGGACATGTAATGGATCAGTTTGCATCCTTCTCTGTTGGCCATTGAGTGAATTAATTAATTTGGAGTTATAAGAGTTAGACGTACAGACATCCTGACATAATACAACACTCACATGTATAGTGACATGACATTAAGGAGCCTGCAAACCCACAACTGTACCCGTAAAATTGTACAAATTCAACCATTCCATGGAATAATGACAGACACTGAAACAACAATAAGTGCATTCAAAATGAGAGCGAGGAAAAACATTAACAACATCTCTATAGTGCTCTTATAAT